AGTGGTGTTCCCTCTGTTTGGTGTCTTCCCTGCTTGTGCATTTCCTTAGTGTAGTAGGTCTCTTTGCTTAGTCCGCATCTCTGAGTCTGTGTCATTACGTGTAAGTGTTTCCTTTTACTTTGAAGGGTTCTGTCAGTGTGTTCTGTTTACGTTTCCCCTGCCTCGTCAGTTGTCATGTCTTCCAGGTGTGTTCCCCTCCTTTTTCCCATCCCCTGATTCCTGGCGTGTGTATTTATAGTGTGTGTTACCTCGTGCTTGTTGCTGGTTCATCTGTGTTGTTCCCTTCGGTCTCCCTGCGTCTCTCCGTCCGTTTCCTCGTACCTCCCTGTATCTTGGTCTCTGGTTAGTTCTGTTAGTTTTTTCCAGTTTAGGTTTTCTTAGTTCATGCTCACCCTCGCCATTTCTGTTTGTGTCCACTTTTGTTCAATAAATACTCACCTGCACCAGAGCTACCGCATTTTGGGTCCTTTCTACAAACTCCACACGTCCGCTACCCCGGACGTGACACAGACAGGAAACTTCTGTTCTTCTTTCTTTTTTTTCCTTTTTTTTTTGTCGCCACACATTCAGCTAATTTGCATACTCACTCATCTCAGAAGAAGTTGCCTTGACAAGAGAAATGCATATTTAAAACATTACTACATTATTGAAATTTTTTTATTTTCTTTCTAGAATAATCAGTTATTTTGGTCAATCGGCACAAGAGCACTTCTAATTCACTATTCTAAAAACTACTTTAAGCTTTTAATCACTTATTTATCTTTTTCCTTTTCACAAAAGTCACTCTATTGTCATGGAACTTCCCTGAGTTATTCCTTAACTTCAAGCTTTAAGTGTGTTAAATCTACACCATTTAGCATTTATGTCATGTATTCACATTCATCAATGCAAGCATGTATTCATTGCGTGTATGTTTTGTATTCATATTAATATTGAGTGTAAGCTGATCTTTGTTGCCTCAGTGTGTTTTTATAATCAGATCTAATTCATGCATTTTTGCGCTGAGCTGTGGATTCAAACTGTCTCAATTCTGATTCTCTCCAAAAATTTCACATGTGACAATTTGTATATGTGTCTTTTCTATTCATTCATGTAATTGTTAGTTTATTTATTTCTTTATCTCTCTCTTCCCCCCCCCCCTTTCTGTTGTGATGCTCTGGACATTTCTAAACCTCCATGAGTTCAGTCTCAATCTTCAATCCAATTACCCATATGCTTTCACTGTATCACGTCTAGGTTCACCTCTCACTTGTCCTCGTCCCTGTTTTCACACTGTCCCGTATGGGCTCCCAGATCAACACAGGCCCAAATCAGCTGTTTTCTCTCTCCATTCCTCTCTTGATCTTTTCAGTCTTTTCTTCTAGGTTTACTCCCAGCATGGCAAATATCAAACTCAGCGTTCAGTGCTGTCCAGTGCTGTCCAGTGCTTTCACACTCTTGCCACTGTTGAAGCGCATGTTCAACCCACAATGGTATTCATACATGCTGCTTGACCCTTCAGTGTTTTAGGTCAGTTGCACTGTCTTTTGCCTGCTGTTAATTCTTCAAGTACATGGTGTTGCTCTGTCTGTCTTCATCAGGAGATTGACTGTCCTTTAAGCTTCACCTCAGGATAAGGACAGAATGAGAGGTGAAGCTGTCAAATTTTTAAGCCAAAGGCTGGCCTGTTTTTGTCCCAATTCTGTTAATCTATCATTTTGCCGCTGTACTCATGTTTTCAGGTTGAGAAGAGTCCACCTGTATTAACACACTAAAACATTTATTTAATATCATTTTCATTACTATTTCTTAACACATTCATTCTCTAATTCTTCTATCTAGATTTTTAACATGTCTCTCTCTCACTCGTTGCACACTAGACACATCAGCCAATTTCCTTTTATGGGCATGCAAATATGTTCACTTACTGCTCCACTTCCTGTCAGACACACACACACACACACACATGGCAGTTTACATACACACACACTCTTCATTTCACTGCATTTTCATCTGTTTCTACAACCTAACCAAACTCTTATTTTGTATTTACAGTCTATATACCCTCTGTACTCTGCTAAGCTTTAATACAAAAAGAATGCACCCTCAGCACACACACACGCACAAGTATACTCAGCTCTTTGCATTTGCAAGCATTCACATCAAAATCCAAGCTCTGTAGCACAATTCACACAATACTTTCATCCACATTTTTGCACACTTCTTTCAACTTCCTTAAAAGAAAAATGTCTCATACACACACACACACACACACACACACACGCGTCTCATCCTTTTCTCCCACACTTTAAAAACAATGTGCACCTTTGATCATTCATCCAAATAACAATTTTACACTTCATTTATACATTCACACATTTATATGTATAACAAAAAACACTGACTGCGAAGATTCAACTCTGGTACCGGTGATCCTACGCTTTCGACTAATTTAAAAGCCTCTAAGGCCCAGGATCGCCCACCCTGCTGGTCAATTTTATCTGCTTCAGGAACGCCCTCACCGATAGCGGTCAAATTTCTAGGCCCTATATTAATTCATAAGCGCTCCCCTCAGCTCGACAGGAAGCTCCGCTTCATCACCTTCTGAGTATCCCACTTGCTCCTTAAAGCTTTACTTAAAGCTTACCTGTCAGCCACGTTGAATGGTCACGGACGAGGCCCCGCTCTGTTGTTCAAACGGTGCAAGAAAAGTGGTT